GCCGTGGACTCCCCGGCACTCGTGTCCAAGATTTCTCTTAGAGCCCCTACAAAGTTCCTTAGGTTTAATTCACTTTTGTGCATACCTGTGGCCTCTACGAATTTTCGGCGGAATGCATTTCTCTTACGTGTGAGTAATAGCTGTAATGAATTGTCCAAGCAGGTTGATATTGGCCTTTTTAACACTAATGTTGCACCGATGACGCGTATTATTAGTAGTTTGTCTTTTTTTTTGCGTAATTGGTAAGTGTTGCGAAAATGAATATAATATAGTTAGTAGTTATATATTTATAATTGAATGCATATTTACTTAATGTATGTCTTTCGATGAGGACCTATAATTGGTTTTACATTATTATTTCGGTTTTTACTTTGTAAGATAGCCGTTGGTCTTCCGAAAAGTTAAAATGAAATAAAATCCCATGTGCCTGTGTCACCAGCACCCTTTTTTTTACTGGGGGGAAATCTTTATAGATACCCCTGAGCCCAGGGAGACTCAGTGGTTAGTTAGGTTAAAACCCCCCCGGGTTTACCTACCGCCCGCCGGTTGAGTCGGCGCCGTGGGGTCGGTGCACATTCACCACGACGCCGCCCGGCCGCCCTAGCTTGCGCCAAGGCTCCCGCGCCAACTGAGGGGCAGGTCAGTTGTCCTCCGACCCGCCCCCCAGACGAGTGAGGCCGTGCAATGCAGGCTCCGGAGTCCCTGTCCAGAAGGAGGTCCTACGCAAAAGGAGGCCACCGCCTCCCAGGACTCCTCGCTACCGAGCATGGCGGCAACCACATTCGGCAACGAGAGGTCCTGCCCTATTGTCCCCGTCAGGGTACGGCGCTGCTCATCCCACCGGCTGCACACCTCTAGGGTGTGCTGCGCGGTGTCATCCGCAGCGCCGCACTCGTGGCACGACGAGGAAAATCAAAACCAAAACGCAGTACCCAATAGTTACTCATATTATTACTACTTGCCTGCAGAAATAGGTAAGGTGGTGGTACTTTCTTGGACGAACTCTTACACAAGAAGCTACTCCACACTAATATAGAGTTTATATATAGATTCTCCATAAGAGACGTAAACTGCCCCGCTGCTGCAGCGCCTCGGGTATGTTCGCGGCGGCATGCACTGATTGCTTCTACACAATGACGCGCAAAAGGTGTGCAACATTGGTGCGCAAGGTTAGGTCAGACCCAATATCGTCCTGGCTATGATGATAGCTGGCAGGTTAGATTGCCCCTATCGCCGTGGCCGCGCGGTTGTACTATTCAGAGGAATTTGAATGTTGTTGCCTAGTAAATAGAATTCAGATTCGACATTAATGTACATGAACTGGGCGCTAAGTGTTAGATAAAGATGTATGGAAAAAACAACTTTAGTCTAGATTCCACACAAATGATTGAAAGTGTATTCCATAGCATTTAAGTTTATTTGAAAACAGCAATCCCTAGTGATTCTTGCTCGTTCTTCTCAGGGAAGTCAGCGTAGTGTTTACCTATGGAATAATTGATTATGTGACTTTGCTTTTCACTGTGGTTTCAATTTTTATGGCTTCAATTTGAAGCGAGTAGCATCCCTTATGCGCAGAGTGCAGGGCAGCGCCAATGGCAGACATTCAAACCATATTTGTATTGCAAAAACGAGCGATTCGTTCTGTGTACCGTTGAAGTTCTCGGGTTTCTCTCAGAGAAAAGTTTAAGGAGACTGGTATCATGACTGTGGCATCACAGTACATTTACTGAAATATTTTATACGCCCGTAAAAATATACATAATTTCTATAAGAAAGAAGATATCCATAATAATAACCTTAGTGCTAAGTCCAAACTCATGGTACCACGATTTCGTTTAACCAAGGTAAAGGATTGTTATGGATAACTGTATACGTTTTTACAATAAGATTCCGGATTTCCTAAGTTTAAAAACTACATTCAAATTTTTTTTTATTGAAAAGTCATATTACAAAATTGGAGACTACGTGTAAGATAAATATGTATCGAAAGACGACATGGCTCCAGATTCCACACAAATTTGATTCAAAGTGTAAGTATTTCATAGCATTTAAGTTTATTAATAGAAAAGAGCAATCCCTAGAGTTTCTTGCTCGTTCTTCTCAGGGAAGTCAGCGTAGTGACGTTTTCAAGTGTAAAAATGGTACCTATGGAATAATTGATTATTTTGACTTTGCTATTGACTGTAGCTTTCGTTTATGTGGAACGATGGGCCCAATGGGCCCAATATCAATGGGTGCACGTCAATGTTTAAATGATTTATATTAACATAGTTTGTAAGTATTTTGTTACTAATACTATATCGACTCATCCGAAGAACAGAGTCCGATGTGATTATATAGCGAAAAGAGATTATGTACGTTACGAGAATAATTTCCTTATTCAAACTAAGGCCTACGTAAAGGTGTTTTGAGAATTTATATATTTTATTTCATTTCGGAAATATAAAATCGAACAACCCTCGATCTGACATCCACAGCGAAGAAGAACGAACGAAATGTACTATGTCCTGAGAACAAGTAGTCTTGCACATAGGTCTTTGTTCTACGGATGAGTCGATATGGATATTATATGAGACGAAAAACAGCAGGTTCTTTAGTGTCAGTGCCCCTCAGATCTTTACGATTTAAAGCTCTGAGTGGCACTGCAACTGTTATGGACAAGCGTGCAGCTTTCCACCAGGCACACGACTTGTTCGTCCCGTCACTTGATATTATAAAAAAAAACACAATTAAAATAGAAATCTAAACTCTTCTTGTTAAAGCTTAGTTCTTATTTTATGCTTACAGATGTTTGCTGTCAACATAAAATAAGCCATATTTGTTTACAATTATGGCCTCCTTTTTAAACAAACAGCATTTTCAGCGTTTCTTTCTGAGATTTTGCCATTGATTTCACAAACACCCGGTATTTCAGATCGGCGGCGGATGATATTTTTAAACGTTTTATAGACGATCGACGCCGTCAAATTGACATTGCGCAGGCGTCGATTTTAAACTTGAAACGAGTGACGGTGTAGACGCTTTTGAATTTGTTAGAATTCTATTTTATGGTATTTTTGTTTTAGACTGTCCTTTCGGTGGGAAATGTAAATTACATTTTTTGATGCGTTTGCGCATTTGTGGTTTCAGAGAGGGCAAAAGATTGTTTAATTAATTAAGTACGTAAATAAAAGTCTTGAGTATAACAAACGGTCTTATTGCTATGTAGTAATCTCTTCCAGGCAATCTTGGTGTGACAGCAATAAATGCCATATGAAACTAATATGTATATTACACCTAGACAAATGTAAAAATTGCTAGCTGTATATTATAGTCCCACTGCTCGGCACAGGTCTTCTCCCACAATGAAAGGGTGTGGACTGTAGTTCCTACAACGGTCCTATGCGGTTTGGGAACTTAATTTAAATTTTCCTCACGAAGTTTTCCTGCACCGAAAACCTCGTTGTAATGCAATAAAAAAGTGCTTATGTGTGGATAATTTTAATTACGAAAATGTTGCGTTTTATAATCACGGTTGGTTTTAGGTCCATGCCTTTTCCGCATAAACGGTGGCGCCATATTATTTTCCCGCATTGTGTGTTTGTGTTTGGATCATTTTAGTGACGCGACGTAGGACTTAAATCGTCAGTAAGACGCTTTGTCTATAACTTCGAGGATTTTTTGGCTTTTAATCCTGACGTGAAGAGTACTCAAGACTAAAGTCGCTCTCGTAAATTTTATACTTGTAGTAATAAAGTCGTGTATTGCATACACCATGCGCACACGTTTTCACTCGGAAGCAAAGGGCTTAAGTCTCAAAACCATTTTCGATAATTACTAGATTCGACTAGACTAGACTTTTATATTACTAACTAAAATAATATAATCTTATGAATACGATAAACCTCAAAGCACGTATGATTTTCAAAAATGAAAGTGTCGAGCGAAAGGGTTGCCACAGCATTAACATGATCAATTAAAAATAATTTTTATCTTCTACATGATAATTCTTTAAATAAAAAATTTTAAAAACGCAACAAGCGGCCATTTATATTTCCCACTTCTGAGCACGGGTCTACTCGGGCGAGAGTTTAGGCCATACTCCGTCACGCTGGCCGAAATCGGGTTGGAAACTGAACACGTTTTCCGAGGGTAGTTGTTTTCATCACAATGCCTTCACCGAAGTCATAGTAAATTTCAAATTAAATTTCACACTTAAATTTCGAATACTCAGTTGTGCAAGTCCGGAATTGAACCCACGGTCTCACAAACCATTGGCCTACCAGGTTTAACGCCATACTCACATATTTATATTTTTATACCAACATCACGGATATATTGTAGAGATGCGCCGAATACAAGTTTTACCGAGTAACCGAGTAGGTACCGAATATTACTCGGTTTAACATTTTTGCCGAGCTGAGTTACTCGGTTCAACTCGGTACATGTTGCAACGCGCGAGAGCAGAGTCGTTTCCAATGGTGGGCCGAGCATAAAACAAAATATCCAAAACTGGCACAGTTAGCACGAGTGTTTTTATGTGCAAGCACTGTGCATAGCGAGCAGTTATTTTCCGAAGCGGGTAATGTGTATGAAGAAAAAAGGAACAGAGTATTACCTGAACGCGCAGAAAGCCTTGTATTCCTACATCATAACTTGCCTTTGTTAAATTTTAAATATTAATAATGTAAACTTTCGTTTTAAATTACTAAATTGCTACAAAATGTTACAATTGTCTAGAATTTCTAGTAATAAATCTCTCTTGATTTTTTTAAATATATTGTTGGTTTTATTTTATTGTCCATATCTGTAATGCTTTATTTTAACCGAGTACTCTTCTCATGATCTGAGTTATTCGGCCGAGTACGGATAGTAAAAAAAAAGGGCCGAGTACACCGAGTACCGAGTATATTGTAACTGACAGCGTCTTTGACGAGTAAACTACTTACTTGTTATAAGTGTTATAAATGTTATCACAGACAAGCTGGTGTCTCTGCAAACTAAAAAATAAAAACAAAACCTTTTACATACTAAACGATTTTTATTAAATAAAACAATTATTTATTTTACAAATTTTTAGATGGAATAATATTGCCATTTAAACACATGATGTATTTTTATCACAGGCAACATCCGAGGTGGCCGTGCTTCTTATTCTCTTAACAGCTAAATTGTTTACTTCTTGGGGCCGCTTACCATCTCTTCTAGGGCCTTGATTTCAGCTGAAATCATTAAAAGAAATTAAGGATTAATTATCTATTATTCCAATACGTTCATTTCTGAGCACGAGAGTAAGGGGATCACCACACTTATTAAGGTGGAATCGGCTTGAGGCGATCAAAAAAACTATAAGAAGTTTCACTTCAACTCCACCCTGCGAAATATCTTTTTCTTTTTATTGTAAAGATGTTCGGACGGAATGCAGTGTTCGGAATTTTCTAAATATTTATTTTCTTTGATAATTATCCGCTATGTATCCGATAATTATCCATGCTAATTCATACATTTGTTACTAAAAATGACATAGTGAAAAAACTAAATAAACAACGAAAAAAGCTTTGGGAAAGACTGTTGTGAAGAAGGCTCTAAAATCTCTCACTAGATAATACACTATGGCGCAGTATGGCCGTGGACATTGTGGCTTGAACAAGCACAAGTCAAAAATTGGGTATAAAGAAAACAGAGAATGAGGTTCTGCAGATTCTGCCACAAGGCAGATGAAACTCCTGTGCATCTCCTCAGTCAGTGCTGCCCTTTAATGGGCGTAAGAAGGTCCATACTGGGTAGGCACAGGCCACACCCATAGGACATGTCAGAGCCAGAAAAGTCCTTCAGCTCCGAACTGTAATTAGTGGTGATCACAATAGATCAGTTAATAGTTGCAGTGATGAGGGGCCTAACACACAAACCCTAAATGAAACCACCCTAATATTAATAATAATGATCGTGTCAATAACCATAATAAAAACTGGTGGGTTTGTTTCACAAAAAATCTCAGATTACGTGGACGGATAGCTTTTATTGACAGGTTTAATGAATTACTTTGTCCATAAGTGTGGTGTTTACTTACGGGAGCACTTTTAGGCCAGACACAAATTTCGTTATTAGTTTCATGGTTAAACAGATGATAATCAGTCAGCTAAACTGCACATGATTTGAAAAGACTCAGTGAAGGCCTCCAGTGGGAATCAAGCCCTTACATCTGTAGCTTAGCCAACAACAGTAACATTCAAAAGCAAGTACTGCCAATTTTTCACTTGAGCAGTATCCTAAGCAACAACATGTGGCAAACGTTCTCCCAAATGAACTGCTATAAGCAATACAGTTTATTTTCACACAAACTGATACATAATTTGCCCAGTAAATGGACATCGAGTAATTTACGTACCAGCAGCAGCAATAGCCTTCTCCTCCTTCAACTTAGCATCTTTGATAACCTTCTCCTTGGCCTGAATTTCACGGAACTTAGCTTCCTTTCTGGACAGTCTATTCTGATGGAACGCTCCATAGGCAATGCCCACTGTGAGTAACGACCAACGACCAAACTGGAATTAAATAATTAAATATACGTATTAAATTGTTGTTAAAAAATCATAATCATTAATAGTAACAAATTAACTTTCAATGCATGCAAATTTGAAACAAAATACAAGCCGTTACAATGGAATTCACAATGTTTTCTTTTTTAATTCTCTGGCCTCTGGTAATTTTACTAGAATAGCGTATATTGTACCAATCAATATGCAATTACCTCTATCAGTTCTTAGTTTAAAGTTTATTAAAAGGTGTTTATTGTTAAGAATATTATGGTAGTGCACGCATTATGTTTTTGTGTATATTATTTTAGATTCACTTAGGTTGTGGTGCACACTCAATGCCTGTCTTTACCATAAACGTCTTAAACTCAAAAGACTATGTGTTCTAACTGCTGTTGTAACGGGTTGTGGACAATGTAATAAACATCTTTTCAATTTAAGTATCACAGACAGCCCTATATGCAGTGTGAATAGAGGGGGAGGAATTGGCCGTACATATTCTAATAGAGTGGCAAGCTACAGGGCGAAATTTACGCGCAAAGTTTAGAGTGCTGAGGTCGCCCCCCAAAATCTTCAACAAAACCAGGAGGATCCTGAGATCCTTGGAGAAAATTAGGTGGCACTGGTAGGACTTTGCACCCACCTAGACGTCGAGTTACAGATGCCAGCTCATCACACCAATGACCAAAATTATGATTAACAAACCTTGGAAAGCGTGTTGCCAGCATTGGGCCAGTGTGGGCTGTGGTTTAAACCTTTTCAAAAGAGACGTGTGACTAGCAGTGTGACGTACAATGGGAAGATGATGTGACGGTACATTTACATACTTATGACGGTATCTACTACGTATGCCCTTTAGGTTGAAGAGAGATTGCTTATAGGTACTTTTATAAGAAATTTTTAAGAGACAACCCTATGAAATAAAAATTTACAAATACAACAAAGAGGTTATATTCTGAAACTTTAAAAATCTAATTACTGGCCACTTAACTTTAATCTACAAAATTACAAAACACATTTGTATCTCGACATTTAAAAAGAAAATAACACATTTGAACTTGGAATTTTAGTTCAAAAACACTATTACATAATTATAAATTGAAGTTAAAAAAATTATGTGAAAATATTTACCCTGATCAAAGGTGATACACGGACTGGCGGTCCATACGGAAGATCAGACATTTTGATGACTTAAGTGAAATAAATAAGAAATCCCCAAATAGGATTTTAATTAAACCCTCGCTCGATTCCTCACTTTTTTCGGGAGAGGTTAAGACAGTGTTGCTAGCAATGCAACAGAAATTGCGCAGGTAGAAGAAGATACATGTTTCTAAAATAGCCATTACTCTAATAAAGGAAAGCTGAAAAGTCATTCAAATAGCTTAAAACGGTTTTTCATTTAAGTAAATTGTGTACTAATCCTAAATAAGATGCTAATTTACAATTCCATTGATATAAAACCTGCAAATTCAAACATATTTTAATGGCAATAATATTTTGACATTTCCAACGAACGAGTGAGTTGTAAATGAAATGAAATTAAGTATGAACGAATGATTTCCACTGTCGTAACTCGGAATCTTGTATTTGTGCTCGGAATACTGTATTTTCACAATATAACGAAGAGTTTTGTATTCCAATGCCTTATTGTTGTGTGATTACATGTAAAAACCATAGTGGAAAAACTAATGTGGCCAATTCAGGCATATCGTATCACAGGTAACTCGTTTTTGTGGTAAAAATGGAATTCATTATTGTAAACAATAGCGCTGTCCCATTGTCGACGAATGAATTTATCGATAATATTGACCGTGTTAACATTTGCTTGATTATTGCTCGTTTAGGATTTATAATATTATTATTATTTTGAATTTAGACTTAACATTATACTTGTTTGAACCAAACTTCTGTGTTATAAATAATTTTATTTTTTGTCTTGTTTGTTCTTATCTTTAAGAAATGTAATGGCAACTTATTAATTTTTTTAAAAATAAAGTAGCAACAAAAAGTTTGCTAAACAAAAAATAAAGTAACAAATTCACATTATACAATTCATAATGGATTACAGATTCCCAACTGACCCAGATATCAAAAAGAAATGGATAATCGCAACGGGTAGGCCAATCACAGATTGGTCTCCTCAGAAGACTAGTACAATTTGTTCAAAGCACTTTGAAAGTCACATTATTTATTTGTCTGGAAAAAGCCGCCGAGTACCTGATGATGCTGTACCTACTTTGAACTTGCCGGTTAGTATTTTTCTGTAGATTTTAAAATTGCATTCACTTTTCGATTTTCTTGTTACTGTCACTACTGTTTGCGGTTGCGTCTTTATAGCATCATTATAAAACTTAATTTTTTTCTTGCCCCGCCATGTTTAAAGGAATAAATAAATATTCTTGTTGTAAAAATTTTAATAAATAAAAAAACACTAATATTCTATCATCGCGTAGGTGGCGATTGGTAGCTGATGAAAAAGAGCGGAGAAAGTAGTGTTATGGAGTAGTGTCATGTTTTGGGATGTGGAAAAAAAAAACAGAAAATAAATTTAATTTTTCCAGGGACATACGTCAGAAATTGAAGATACAGAAGAGAAATGCACCGACAGTGAAGACGATCGTACAAGCGGAGAATCACCAAAATATCATTTAAGGAAAATGCAATCGGCCCTCGACAGAGCAAATAAATTAATACGCAAGCAAACGTTACTTATAAAAAGACTAAGAGAACAAAACAGACGTGACTCAAAAAAGATTAACTTACAAAACAAGGTATTAAACGATTTAATGGAAATATTTGAATTAAATAACGAAGATATTGCTGTGTTGCGGACAGAAATTTTGAAATCAGAAGTGTCTGATTCGCTGTGAATATTGTTTAATGTTTGTTTACACATGGTCGACAGTGACAATCTACCTAGTGTAGTATAGTCTACGGTAGTTCGCTGCCGAATTCGAGTCGACTAGGTGTAATAATGTAGTCATGTTGAGCGACTCGATCGCCTTCAGCAAGCAACAGTCGATCAAACAAGTTTCGACGTGTCAGCGCTCGTGTCCCACCACGACGCCCGTTTTTTTTTATAATACCAAATGACGGGACGAACAAGTCTTGTGGTAAGCGAGTCGACTATCCATAACAGTTGCAGTGCCAATCAGAGCTTTAAATCGTAAAGAATCTAGGGCACTGACAAGTCCTATGTGCCTGTAATTTCACTAGCATCCTTATCCTTCCAAACCGGAACGCATTAATGCTCACATTATTGCTTGGCGGCACAAATAGGTAAGGTGGCAGTACTTCCCTGGACAAACTCTTTCACGAGGAGCTAGGTCTGCTGCTACTAAACTGCGCGTACTGGAGAGCTGAGCATACTCACCGGGTAGATCAGTTTGTTCAAACTGTAAACTCTTATTTGACTCGTAGTTGAGGAGTAGTGGGAAAATCAAACTCAACATAAAGTAATTAAGATTATTATATAAGAAAATGTAGCTAAAGCAGACCAACAGAACCGAACGAATTGTAGACAAAAATATATTGACATGGAGCAATAGAAAGTACATTTAAAAAATTATATAATATCTGCCCCGTTCAGCGGCAGGCCCGTAACACTGCTCAAGTGAGTAAAATTTATTCTTCCCTGGACTCTTCATTTTTTTGTAATCGTGTATACTTATTTTCTCAAACAAACCAACATTTCGGGTTCGTTACAAGTCGACTAAGTACATAAGATTTTGTTAATCATATGTAGGATAACTTGAAATATGGCTTTTTGGTAATTTTTTTATTTTCAACTAAGTGTTAGGCTGATTTATGTTACACCGTGCCGGGGTCAAGCCGTTTTCCGATCGTGCACTGGCCGTGACAGGGTCAAATATCTTGTATATGCTTTTGTTTGAACTTCATGTTACACCGGGTCGGGGCACGGCGTCGAATATATTTTCCTGGTTCCAACCCGGACCGATCGCGACACGTCATGAATGCAAGAATGCATTCGCCGGGCACCTGGTGGGTAGTCAACGTCGGACTATAGTGTAGTGGACAGCAAAATGCTCTCATCATGTATTAAATCTTTGTACAGCGTGGCAAATTCTCCTTAGGATTGTCGTTTTCTCCGGTCAGGGTATACACACCATCTTCGTTTTCTAGTTTCAATTTGTCAAATTGCAATAGCTGCCAACTCAAGTTGTGAAAATTGCATTAATAATACAACCTTATCACTCAAGAGAAAAAGGGAAAATAACAACAAAAAACCCGGCCGGCACACGGTGGATACGACACGGCACTGTGACGACCGGACTCGGCACGTTGTAACGTAAATCGGCCTTTAGGGCTTTCATGTATCAGCCTTTAGGGATTCGAACTCACGGCCTCTGCTTGAGAGGCTATTACGGCATAGCTCAAGTATATAATTATACCCAATTAAACAGTTTTATAAATTTACTAAACCAACGGTCATGCAAGTTATGTTGCCCAGGCCTGCACACAAAGAATGTAAGTAAGTAAGGAATGTCGATGTTGTTTTTTCGTCGTTATTTCCGCTGTTAGGTGTCGTGATAGTTTATTAACATTGAGCGCAGGAAACGAAGCCAGACTGTTTTAAAAATATGCAATACATAAAGCGAGTTACTCGATTAGGTATAATTTTTAATTCAATAGTTGAAGCTACATCCTCAACTAAATTCGTAAACATCGAAATCTCCATTCATGTGAACTTTTGAGCAGGCACAAAAAACAAACATTACTGGAAATAATTATAATGACTTTTTTTTTATAATACCAAGTGCCTAGACGCAATTAAATCGCAAAGATCTTAGGGGCACTGCCATTGCGCCCGTCACCCTGACACATAAGTTGACATGTCTCATATGCCTGTAATTTTACCAGCACCCTTCAAGTGCTTTTCCACCGGCGAGGAGAGACGAGACGACGAGAATTGAAATCTTGCCGACCTATTTCGACCAAAAATTGCCATCGCGAGCACTCGCGAATTCGCGCTATGGTTATGGATAGTGAAGACACAGTGCTGTTCAATAAATAAGTAAATATAAAGATTTTTTCGAAAATAACTTTTTTTATATATAATCTTTAACCAGGGCAAATATTACGAACTAGCAAAATACACATAAAAAAGTTTAGAACTGGCGCTGGTATGTTTACATTACTGTGTATGTATATTTTTGAAAACGATGCAATGTTTTAAAAGTGGTTACATAATTATGATAAACTCACAATCCTAATCCTGTACATTTTAATGAAATTATAAATACATAATATGCATTAGATAAATGTTTACGAAAATGATATGGATACATGTACGACACCAGGAGTATATATTTTTCATTAACTGTAGTTTGTTTATTTTTATCTGAAATAAAAGTATACCTTTTTTTAAAGTGGTGTCGTGATTACATATTTTTGAAAACAGCACGAGATAATTTTTTTGGAATATTTAATGTTTACATAATTTCGAAAATGTGTGAACGTTTATTTCAGTGCACGCGATTGTATGCCACAATCTCACGATTGACATTAATAGCCATCGCGAGCACGCGCGAGCTATATATATTTATTTAATTATTATTATATTTATTTATATACGTTGAGTTTCTAAAGAACTAAATTAAAATCGTATGTTTTTGACAGCCTAAATGCTTAGCCTATAAGTATGGACACTTTTTTTAAAAAGTCTCAAGAAACTCGGTTTTTACGAGACTGCATCGATTCTCGATTTTATCCAAATAAGCGAAATTGAAAGCGTTGGTAAGTATAGTTCAGAATAACAATTAAAAATAACAATTAACATTAGACATAACCTCATTAATGGCTAATAGTCAGTGAACCTTATTTAAAATTAATAATATAATTATAACTTTTTTATAAAGAAACATACTTCAAAAGCTTGCTTAATTAAATCTATGTGCCAAGTTTTATTGAAACAGGTTAACGGAAACTGAGTGAAATCCAATGACCCGATTCATCCCCTTAGAGGTAGAATATTTTCTTTAAATTAGAATGGGACCACTGCTGAGGTAATAATAATAACGTACATAGGTACTCATATCCCCATTAGGGAAACCCTGTATCGCGCCTGTATACCATGGACACACACATAGACAAACACAAATTACACCCAAATTCACGAGATAAATAAATGTAGCTCATACAAATATTCCTCCCGGGCCGAGAATCGAACCCGGGACCTCGGCGTGCCAGACGAGAATGGTAACTGTTCGGCCAATGAAGCAGTTTAGAGGTACCCCCTTTCCAACAAAAAAGAATAATCGAAATCGGTTCACAAATGTTTTCATACGTAATGTCACGCCCACATCCCACGTTTTTTTAAATCGGTTAAAATTGACTAATTGCAACCGTTATCAATATTAAATAACGAACTCTGGAAATAAACCACACAATACATTATTTTATCAACGTTTAATAAACCTCGGTACAAACTCAGCTAATGTGTTTACCTATTAGTTAATTGATTATTGAATATGTTAGTGTAAACTATGTATAAGGTAACTATAGATGGTAACTATGTATCCTTACTCACTGGCCTACCTGAATATCAACTGCCTAGAATCATTAATGCATACGGTATAAGGACTGCGAAGTACGTACTGCCTAACATTCTAAACAAAATACCTACCTGTACAGTACACATAAAGATATATTTACGAATGGTAGGAATTTTAATGGAAGCAAGTTTTAAAGAAGCACCTTCTTACAGTCGAAACCCAAAAGTGCGACGCGACGTCGCATCGCATAAATCTACGAGTTCACACGACGCATCGCGCATTCCTGCAATGTTAATCGTCTTTGTGTTTTTTCCTACACTTTCTTATCAAAAACAGCAAGTGCAAAACTTTTTACGATCCATGTCGCTACCTAGTTTAAAAAATACATTCAGTACGGTTGACGATCGTCGAAGGAATGGTAACCCAAACCGTGGCAGTGAGATGCCTTGTCGCACGAAATCGCATTGCAGCAATTCGCAGTTTTGTGTTTCGACCCTAATAAACCCTTTAAAGGGTTTTTCAAAGCAATCTTATGAAATTAATTTCATTTAATGTTGCTTAGTGGTTAGCGTCACGCCTGTCCATAACAGTTTGCTGTGCCACTCAGAGCTTTGAGCATTATTGTTTGGCGGCATAAATAAAACGGCCCATGCGCAGGCAGAAAACTGCTCATGCACTATGGCCCACGTATGGAGTATCGCAGGATGCAGTACAGGATTGCAGGATGGCTTGCACGCTGAGACTATATTCATAATCCTGCATTGAGCGGCGGACGGCAAAGCGGATTGCAATGCAGGATAATGAATGCCTCCTTTTGGTAAGGTGGCAGTACTTCCCTGGACGAACTCTTTCACAAGCTCTTCTGCTACTAAAGAATAGGTAATATCGTGCGCCAATAAAACACAGCTCAGTCTTTCGGTATCCTGTCGGGTCGGGTTATGTTATGAGTTATGCGTAATTCTCCAAAGTAATGTGTTGTTATCATTTCACTGTTGTGCGATATCACAATTGTAATAACTCGAATTACTTACACATCGGTCTTACTCGGCGAGCGAGCGGAATATTCCACACAGATTAAGAGAGTCGCACACTTGACGCGAAAACGGAATCGGCTTTAAGAATGAAAGAAAGAAAACTGTTTATTACACAAGCATAGACGCTAATTAATGTATAAAATAAATAATAAAAATTTAAAAAAGTATTAAAACAATTGACATAATTATGCAGTAGCCACTAACGGTTTTTTTGAACCGTTTCGTGGCGCTGATTTTCAGCACGTCCGGGACGAGTGAGCTACTTACAATAATAAAGTAATAAATAATAAATAAATAAGCAGGTAAGAAAACCGACATAATAGGAAGTGTATAAACGCATGTGAAATACTTATAATGTGTAAATAACAATATACCAATAAAATAAACTCAAATTCCAAATTAATTCTAAAATGAAATTTGTATAGAAATGTTATATAAATTTCATATTATGAAATGAATAATTTTATGAAGTCCACGCAGACGATATAGAGGCTCGAGGCAGGGTGCGGGAGCGAGTAACTTCAAACAGGCAACAACTTGTTTAGTTGAGCAACTGCGCTGCGCCGCCTTTAGCCGGTCTCAAACAGCTTTAAGCCTGATATGTATGAAGTATCGGAACAGTTTAATATTGTATTATAAGGGTGAACGTAAATTGTTTGTCTGGCGACAAATTACGTACAAACGAATGTCTTTATGTTCTTTAGCAGTGGCGAATGAGTTAAGATAATTGGAATATTGTATACTCGCATCGTTTTATTATGGCTGTGGGGCAAATTTGTGATCAAATGACATATGACTGGTAATTGATTTTGGCGGAATGGTACAGATTTCACCAACGGCGACAGTTAGTAACCCTAGCTCTTGCAGGTTGTCTCGATCATACATATTTGAAATAAATATTGTAAATGATAAATGTACGAGTATACCAACGTTTATTTACAAAGAGCAACTTACACTCGCGGTGGCCATATGAAGATCAAATTCCATTCTTAAATGAAACATGTGTACGCACCTGGAAAAATTTCAGCTCGATATGACAATTTTTCTGACTTTTATTGAAATACAAAATTGTTATGTCCCTATTAGAAACCCTATAACGAAGAAAAATAATAATAAGAATATAAAAATACGATGTAAAGAAGATTATACTAACGGAGTCATTACACTTATCGACATGAAATCGCATTAAGTTGGTCATAAAAAACTTTACGTACATACACATAAGAGCGAAAAAGACGTTGTGCGTTTCGCGTCGGCACCAGTCCATCGTAACTCCGACGTAAAGTTTTTGTCTCAAGCCGATTGAACAAGTGTGGCGGTTCCCTAGAAGCAATCTATTCTTTCAGTTCAAAAGGCAGTCCCATATATACGGAGTGCTACCAAGACTTAGTTTTGTCTGCTGCCTTCTTTCATATGTCAGAGTACGATTTATCTTCATTTAAAATTCCCCGAACTGTACATCATCTCTTTGTGACTTCTTCTGAGAATAAGGCAGAATTTAGAATGTAGCTAAGGTTAAACGGTTCGAATATTTAAATTACTAACAAATTAAAACTACTTCTATTTTTAATTTTTATCTATTTATTTGTTGAGCATTGGCTACACAGATATAACAGCTTAAACTCAAAACGTCGTAATATTTATACTAAATGACTAAAAATTACACTGACAGTTTTGCTAGATATGAGGTATATCGATTAAAAGTTTTCGATAATTTAATGAAAAAATGCATAGTGCATGTATTCATTTTTAGATTATGCATTTTAATAATTGGCAATGAATTGTCACGTCATTGTTAGTGCTTTTTGGAAACCTATAAATTAATAAAAAAAAAAAGAAAAAATATACGATAGTTTTTTTTTAATTTACTAAAATATCAATTGAAATTGCATTTGAATCATAATTCTGTCTTTTATGCTATCCATGTTATATAAGAAAGTACACATTATAGTGTTCATAATACGTCGGAAAAATCAAAATATAATAAGGGCTCATTTATTCAACACGAATTTCACCGCGCACATCCCGCGCGGTCGACGAGCAGAGTTCGCGGCGGTAATTTTATTGAGTAGAATTTAAATATTGTTACTTAATAAATTGAATTCAGATTCGCCATTAATGTACATGAAGGCGTGGTAACTGGGCGGTCGCCGCGCGTAAACTTTCTTCTCGTGTAACTGGGCGCTAAGAGGGAACTGAAATATTTACACTAACATATATCGACTTTACCTCATCTCTATGATAAACGTCAAAGATGAGGTGTCACAGGCTATTTTTTTTCCATCCTCTGGATATTTTCGATGGGGCCATAACATTTAAAAGAAGAAGAAGAAGGAGGGATATAATATAGTCCCTAAAGGATAGAAAAAAATAAAGGAAAGTCTTAAGGTTTAGTCACTGTTTATTTGGTATCAGTTGTAATCACAGACATTATATCTAGAGTTGTAATTTAGGAAGTTGAACTTCCAACAGTTATCGATGGAGCTATAACATTATGAAGAAGAAGTTTAGTTTATTTTAAGAAAAAACTGTAACTACAAAAGCCCGTCTTTTTTGTCTTTTTAATTTATGTCAACTTTTTTCTATAATTAAAATAAAGTAATATTGAAAAAGAACAATGGTATCCCAATGACAAACATACATTTAAATGATTTACTGCAAAATTAAACAGGGCTGGAGACTGGCTCCATTGTGTGAATTTTGTACTTCTCTTTCATACCGATGGCATTACAGTTAAAAAAACGCATCCATTAGAATGACGTCAATTATTTCAAATCCTTCATTCATTTCATTCAATAATCAATCAGTCACCAAAATGGCGTTGATCATGCCGTTTGTGTCGGTCGCGATTTCAATACTTTATACGCCGTTCTTGCTGTTAATTCTGTGCATAATATTCTTAGCATCCATTGGAAAATCTTTGGGTGTCCGAAGGTTATACGTGAACATATTACTAAAGCTGTTCGAGGTATGTAATGTTGCTTCAAAAATTATTTAAATGAAAAATGTTTTTGGGGCTCTTTTGTATGCAGTTTCTGGTTTGTTATGGGCGGAAATGGCTTGAAAAATATTTTCAGCACTTCAAAATCCATCTAGGCAGACGCTATAATTACATAATTACTTGTTATTACAAAAAAAAAAAATTTTGTGAATGGAGGTTAGAAACTTTTACGTAGCTAATTTTGTACCCTTGTTTTTTTGACTCGCCTAAATAAACCACTAATAAGGCCCTAATAAAATGTTTTTTCGCTTTTGGTACAGACTGAGGCGTCTCATTGGCCATGTTTCCAGATTTTAGATTGTTATTTTTCTCCAATACTTTACTTCTGTACTTTATTCTGACATGTTTCGTAATTTTTATATTTTTATACTTTAATTTACTGACATTTTTCGCGGGAAATTGGTATAATGTTTACGGTGGCCATTTTGAAATTCCCTATAAACACAAAATATTTTTTTTATGTGTGTGTATGTGGTTTTGATACTATACCGTGCCCGTCCATGTGCTTCCCACTGGTGGGCGCGGGTCTTTCGTAGTCCACCATAATAGCCCGTTGCATTAGGAGTACGTCACATGTGCCCCACGTAGGAAATTTTATACAATGTGTGGATTTTATCTATTTGACATTTGTCTAGGTCAAATAGCATCAACATTTATAATTCTTGTATGACATTTTCAATGGCTCATGTGCATCCTGAGCTACATGTGAAGTCTAAAGTTCCATCCAATAGAATCAAAGTAGAGTTGTGATACGGTATGGTGTAATGGTCTGGTGTCTGCAACTCGATGTCTGGGTGTCTATTTTGCGTATGGTAGAGAATATTTTTTTTAAATAAATGTTTGTATAAATTATATTTCTAAATGCAATGTTCGTTGTTGAATAAATTGTAAGTTATTTAAATTTATAACTTTTATAATTATGATTCACAGTAGAAGCTTTTACACTACTTTTCAAGTTTTTATTGAATGCCACAATATTTTACTATCATGATATTCAATTATTTTTTGTAAAATTGCTCTACTAGTTTGTTGTAATTATTAAATACAAAGATCGAACTTAAAGAAAAATTCCTTCCTTCAGACCGGATTTGAACCAACATCTTCTAGCAAACCGTGCCAGACACTATGGCAACTAAGCCTTGGAACTAACTGAATCTGGAGCCAGATCAAAGTAATTTCTTCTAAGTGTTCGATCATCGGGCGCAATGGGAGTGCCTCTCAGATATTTAAATAAATAGATATGCAATTCCAAGAACTTTTGAGGTCAGTTTTTTGGTACTCTGTACTGTGATTATTTTTTCTACTATACCTTGTGACAGAACCAACAAGTTGTGCGCCCGGTGGAAAGCGACACCCCTGTCCAGTTGCAGTGCCACTCAGAGCTTTAAATCGCAAAGATCTGAAGGGCACTCCCACTGCGCCCGTCACCCTGAGACATAAGTTGACAAGTCCCATGTACCCATAATTTCACCAGCACCTTACATTTCTTATTAAATTTAGATTTATCAAACGTTCCGGGTTTTAAATGGGTCACAGTTGAGATGATAGTCATCGGTAATGTTATGCGCATAATACACCAAATACTGTGGTAACTTAAAATTGTGAAATTGAGAAAACACAAGTTTTGAAAGGTTGATGACCATCACTGCCCTCATCTTACTTAGCAAGTGCAGGAAAATCGTTTTTAAATTATCTTATATTAGGAAATGGAACTATTTTTGACTGGGACTGTCAACTGTGACCATGGGACCTGTACAGGGCCCGAAACATCGGTTTGTTTGAAAAAACGAAATTTTTAGATTTAAATCCGGACAAATAGTTTCATTTCCTATGTGTAACAATCGCGAAAACCTAAGAACTCGATATATCCTATATTAATTAAAACTAAATTTGTGATAATGGTCTCGAACTCATCAAAACAACAGTTTATTTTTAATGAAAAAAAAAAAAATATTTGTAATTGTTTGCATATCCAGTTCAATATTAAGTGCGACTAAAGGTGACAGATTGCAGTTTATTATAATTAATGAAATCAGGGTTACCAGATGTGCAGCTGCAATATACCTTATGGGCCTTTCCAAAGGGATGGGACATTTTGACTCCTTTCTCCTTGAGCTTTAAGTAATTTCTCCCTAACCATTGGTTAGTTAAACTTAAAATGAAAATATCATGAAGCCAGATATGCAATTCACGACTATTTATTTACATAAATTTATGACATTATTTATACTCAAAACTTTTAATTTTCTAAGTGTGCCACCCACACTCACGACACTAACATCTGAAATCTAGTTATACAATTTAATTGTAGTTATACAATTAAAACCAAATTGTGTAACTACAATTGAACCACGGTGTCATTTTCGCTGAAATGACCCTTATTCTAACCGACTTAAAAAAATTCTCACTTGTGAACCTCCTCCTTTTTCCTTTTTAATTTGAAGTGCTCTGAGTAACACACTGAGCAACTGGATGGGCGTCATGGATAGGCGTATAGCTTACATCAATATAAAATAAATGGCATCACTACTGAGGTGCCCCTCTTTCCAACAGAAAAATAATCAAAAATATATCGTGCAACATACATACAAAAAAAGAACACTTATCGCGTGTAGTAGAGTTTTTTGTTCTACTTTATTTAGTCTGGGGGTCGATTGAGAAGTGATTGATGATTGATTAACTCAGTTGTCGACCGATTCGATTTGATATTACGGTACGATTTCTTTTAATTTATATTCACAACACCCGAATCGAACGTCAGACTGTCGTATTCGAAACCGAACCGAAATGACGTCACACCCGCACGATTACTCGAGCTCCTCGATCGGCAAAGGCTACAAACGTTATTCAGAACAGTTATCGAATGAAAGTTACCAACGTCCTATTGTTTACAAAGCAAGACATTTTGTTCAATTTTATTAATTTTTTTTAATGCAAGACTAATGCGTTCCTATATTATAGACCTTTAAAGCCATAAAAACGTATATAAAAGGATTTTCATTTTTCTTATAATCTATGTCTCCGACTGGCTCGGGAAGCGCCCTTCGATTCGAGAACTGAAATATCGAAGCGTTCTGAATCGGGGTCCTGGTTTTATTTTGTACAATAATTGAAACCCTTAAGAGTAATAGGAGCCTTGCAATGTTTGACGAAATAGATACCTTATCATTTGAACAAGAATTCATATAAAATAAATGTAAATAATCTATTTTAGATAAACATAACTGATAAACTTAATTATCTGTGGAATAAATACGGATTTGCTGAATATCCGCCTGGGTTAATAGTCATAAAACTGTATCCTTGACGTAATGTACAACAGGATCTGAAGATCAAGGGCTTAGAGAGTTAGTCTTAAAATATAATGGCTTAGAACATGGTATTAAACGTTCCACTCCTGAGTATCGGACTGGCTATCATGATGGTTATGCGCAGGAAAAAAATACGCATAGCAACCATTGACTTACAATTATATGGACGTCGGGTCCGCGCTAAAAAGTGTCCGAACTTAAAATCATATACAGAGCGTCATTCACGCTTTAGTCTTCGTTTGTTCGACTGACAGCGAAGCAAGCAAAATTAAGACAGTACTGCGATGACATTACAATTTAAATTCAGCGTTTTAGCTTTTTCATATTCCTTTACATGTCACTACGTTTAAATAGGTTGACTTGGGACATTTTTTTCGTGGTTTTTGTATTAGACCCGTCGTCTATTTATTTGTAAGTCAATGATAGCAACTAAGTGTGTTTGATAATTGGAATAAATCGCGTATATGGCAACCCATCACAACCTCGAATTTTTTTTTCTGAAATAACTTTTGTTTGAATTTTCATTACACCGAAAATCGAATTATAACGAAACCGTTGTTCTTTCAGGATATGTTGTATTCGGTTAGGTTCAGTTAGGTTTAAAGGAAAAAAACATTTTCTTCTCATTATACTTTCGAGGTTATAGAAATTCGTGCAAATGTTATTTCTGGAAAATGTAATTTCGTACTACTGATAACCCGCGTATATGCACTTCCGGACATATAATTCGAGCCACCACGCATTTTCAGTATTAAGTGCCCTAAGCTTAAACAGTATTTGATTGATCAAAAACGATTAGGTATACAATTTTGAAACTAGTATACTAAGCGTCTTTTCCATAAGTCGTAATACCAAACACAAGTCCGATCGTGCACGGAGTACTGCTGCCACCTTTGGGATGGCACTGCGACTTATCAACTGGCCTTATAGGTGACTCGGAATTAGTGGAGGCGAAGCTGCAGAGCCATGAACACCGCCGTAAAGTAGCCTGCTTTTACAGGATAAATCACGGAGAGTGTGCGATGGAATTACACGATTTAATTCCGCCTTCCCCTTTCCATCACCTACTAGGCGTAGGCTTGGGTTCCACCCCTATGTTGTGGATATTCCAAAGATTCGCACGAAGCGTTACGCTTCCACATTTATATGGCGAACGGCTATGGAGTGGAATTACCTGCCTGCAGACTTGTTCCCTGAACGTTATAACTTGGACCGTTTCAAGACAAGAGTGAATAGGCATTATTTAGGTGTGCGTGTTCTATCGTCGACCTCATCGTCACTTTCCATCAGGTGAGATGGAGGTTAAATGCGCACCTATATTTTATATAAAAAAAAAGTCCTTGTGGGGAATTTGGATTTGCAAAACCGGGGGGAAATTTTATCTTCGATGATAATACTATTTTTGTATTCTAGCCCTTCACGACAAAAATGCGAGGTGACTCGAATTATGTGTCCGGGAGTATGGGTGGAAGCACAAAACTGCGATGCGACGAGGAATTGCTCCGCATCGCGCACTCCTGCGATGTTCGTCTTTTTTCTGTTTTTTCCTATACTTTCTCATTACGATCTATGTTGCTATTTAGTTTAAAAAATACGTTCAGTACGTTTGGTGGTCGTCGAAAGAATGGTTTACCCGAACCGTGGCTGTGAGATGCC